GCTTCATGCTATTGAAACCAGAGAAAAGCACTGGCCTGATGGGCTACTTAGTCATATGCAGATTTTACCTAATACACAAGAACTGCAAGGAGAGCATATGATTTGACTTAGCTGCATTTTGCAGCTTCAATGAACAAGATGACACAAGTTTACCTTCATCAGTATAAGAATTACAGGAGCCAATAATGTCACAGGATAGAGGGAGAGGTAAGTGCCAACAGCTACCCCAAGGGTGCTGAGAAGAATACTCCCTGAAGAGAAGAATAGTATATCTTATTAACTATACATTTCATTTGGTAAAACGACATCAACAATAAGAAATAAGCCAAGGAGATTATCGCCTGGTTTTACAGTGGTTTCAATAAAAGCTGGTAACTGCCAAATTGCTCTGTCTATGTCAAGCAATTTTACTAAAATTTGATGCCTACCAGAACTTTTCTGAAATAAACGAATTTCAGTTATCGTACATGTAACAATTCTACTTCTATCAGCTGCCTACTTCGCAGCTTCTTCCTGTTTTAACTGGCTTGTATGCTAACTAAATTCTAAATCCCAGCATGACTAAAAGAACCTATTCCTATAGAAAACAAAATATATTCCTGAAAGAGGTGCAGTATTCAGTGTTCAGTAAACTGCTGGACTGTATTGACCATCAGGAGAAATATTAAGCTACAGTCAAACCTCCCGTAAGCAACCACCCAAAATGTCTAGCCTAGGTAGTTGCCTATGAAAGGTGGTTGCTTACGAGAGCTTAGACCGTATTGGGTCAAAATTTTCCCTAATTAGCATATGTTAACTGCGGAGATTTACCTCATGTTTTAAATGTTTTGTTCATGTGAAAAGTCAATTTCGAGAAAAAAATCTGGTGCTAAGTCTTCCCACTGAGAAATTTCCATCTCTTGTACTACCGAGGATTGCAATAATGTTACAACACCTTATTATCTAATTTATGCTCAATTATCTGTCAAGGGGTAAAACAGAAGAAAAATTCAGAGGTTTGGCTTTAAAAGAGGGTGCAGTTGCTTACGAGAGGTGTTCATTTACAAGAGGTTCCAAATATAGTGATTTGATTGGAAACTTTTGGTATTTTGGAAAACTGGTCGCTGAGGAGAGGTGGTCACCCTCCAGAGGTGGTTGTAACTGGAGGTTCGTCTGTATTTCTCAACTTGAAGTCAACAAGGTACATTAACCACCATAGTGAGTTAGTGAAGCTGACATTCAACTGTTACACTTTGCTCTGACAAAGGACTAATACTCAAAGTGTCAGCTTCACTAACTTGCTAGCTTCAGTAACTAAACTGACTCCTTAGAAAAAGATGGCAAAATCAGCTTCCTACTCCAACGAGAAAGTCCCCACTGCACCTACTTCAAAAGATTGCATCAAATCTGGATTATTTCCTGCAAGAGGGTAGTTGATAAGTATGTGATGCCATTTTCTTTATGAAAATTAAAAAAAACTCTTGCTCCACAAACAGTACCTTTTAGCGAAAAAAGAAGTGCAGTTGTTATTGCTAAGTTGGTGAACATCACAGTAGAATGAGCCACACAGGAACCAATGGTGTAGGGGTTTAACAAATAACTACAAAAAAAAAAGAGTTCGATGTTGAGATCAAAAGTTGTTCTCTGTTTTCTGGAATTCTTTCCAAGATTAAAAATGATTTATAAAACAGATGTTTCACCAAACTTTGCTTGCCTTGTTCAAAATTGCTGAAACTGTTGAGGTAAGTGAAGTTTAACTCTGCATAAAGCACTTTATTTTAGCATACCATAAACACCAGCAGCAGATAAGCTGCACTCACAGATAAGCCACATCCTAAGCTTGGTCACCATAAGTTTGAGGACAAATAAGACATGTTTTTGCACCAATAGATGCATAACAATTTAAATATCTATTCAAAACACCCTGCAAGATTGTACACGTCCATAACTCTATCACTCAATACAAACATGGAAAATGTTTTCTATTTCATTAGCAGAAAGAAAAAAGAAAACTTACATGGATGAAACTAGCAAAGGAATGCCATCCAAAGAGTCCGGTTTAAGCAAGATTGGCTCTAAAGACTTATTTGATTTTGAATTCAGCGTCTGCTCTTTCAACTGAAAACAGGAAACAGTACCAAGTCAATCGAATGACTCATAGTTGAACTAATGTTTGCCTTGCTTGTGTGCTAAGTAAATTATTACATGTACCAGCATTTGAGAGTGAAGACTGGCAAGCTTGTAGAGAAGCCATCCGATCAACATATCTCCTGCCTGGCAACAAAAGAAAATATAATAAAAAATTAACTCACGTATAGAGTAGAAAAACAATGGAGAAAAAAAAAATCTCTCTGTTTTGGTTTTGTATTGATAAAACTGTTCAATCCTTGTGTTCCAAAAATAAATCTCTCACTCACAAATCAATGTAAAACGAGGCTACAGACATCATGTCCCTGGTCTGAAATTATTTCAAACCTTATCATGTCACAATTTCTAAAGTTCCTCCTGTTGCTCAAGGAATTTCAACTCAAGTCATGTTGTTCGTCGTGATTTTTCAGCCTCTGTGTCAATGTTTCAATGCCATGTCGCCTATCAAATTTTTACCCTAACAAGGTCTCATAAAATCATTGGAACCTGTCCCCTGTGTATTCAAAGTGTTTAAACACAGTGAAAATTTTAACATACCACAAACAAAACTGGAAACAACTTCTCTGACACCTGCTGTAATCCAAGGAATACTGATAGCACCATGGGAGTCTTAATAAAAGAAAGATTTGTTTTTATTATTTTATACATCATTCATTTTCGACAGCACTGTGTAACAAAGCTTGACTTCCAGCTTTTTGCATACATTCTACTTTTCATCTTGCTCTGAGCGAAGAATGTAGACACCCAAAAGGCTGGAAATAATACTAGATACAGTATGTTTTTTGGAAAAGTATGAATGCATATTAAATAAAGAAATTTAGTATATTAGTCTTGGTAGTTCCAAGAGGTTAGGGACTGGTCCCATAATAGCGGCTGCCAGACACTTTTTGGTGGTGTTAAACCTAACTATAATAAAATATTGCTACCTTTGGACAGTTGCAACTACAATTGAACAACTATATTGCATTCAATGCATCAGAAACAAGAAAAAATGTATGAATGTACTTGTTCAATCCATGCTTTGGATAATAAAAGCAATCAATAGGATGCTGGTAATGAACTTCACAACCAGCTTACTAGAGGGTAGTCCCTGTATTTCATTTTCTGTGTGCCAGTACCCTTAGTATCACAACATTTTCAAATCTCACTTCATGTACTATATCTCCAGAGTATGGTGAAACTCCATGCTTAACTAGAGAGAGGCCTTCCTGCACTGAAAAAGATAAAAAAAAGAAACATCAAATTGTGGACAATCTGTATAAAACCTCTTGTAAATAGAGAATGTTATGGGCAGATTCTCTAAACACTAAGAGGTAGGATCGGCACGGACAGCAACCCCCCGGGGGCGTACTCCTCAAAGTTTCCTGTGGGGGTGTGCAGCCCAAGCCTTAAAACCTGCACCCTATTTAAGACCAAAATCTGTGATTTTCCAAACCCTAATTCAGACCTGAGCGAAAAATCAGTACCCCATTTCCGACCTCTAAAATTAGCACACATCGCTAATATATGACCACAGCTAACCGGAATTGGCTACCACGTGCGTTTAAAATTCGAGAAGGACTATAAATTTGCCAATATTGATGTGGATAAAATAGTTCCCAGTGTAAATCCAGAGTGAAAAACATACCCTTTTTCAGACCAAAACCGTTCAAACCATACCCTGCTACCAAACTAGTCCCTCTAGTAAAACATACCTGAATGCGAATGGTTTAAAAATTTGCAGTTTATGGGTCGGGTTTTATATCGAGTACAAACAACTGAAACAATAATAAGCTTAGAAATACTTTGAGAACATGCCTCTGTTCCAAGCAGTTAATGGTGTAGAAAGCTCTATTCTGTTAATCAGCCAATCTTTAACTGGACTGTAAATGAGAACCAAGCGGGAAGCAAAGGCTACACAGAAAAGAGGAAAACTCCTCTTGTAATCCGCCATCTTGGATACAGACGGGAGCTGGTGCCCAGGCTGCGGAGAGCTGCAGTCTCGTCCCCACCCCCCATAGCCCTTTTCGTTTCTCTCAGTCGGCGGGATCGCTGGCGGGGCCTTGGCTAAGAGAAGCGACAGGGAACGCCACCGGCCAGCGGCCACCCCCTGTTAAACGGCCAGTTATCAAAGTCCCGCAATTGTTGTTACTTTAAAAATGCTGTAAATGGAACTCCTATTAAGGCGGAGTACACGTGAATTTCATTGAGATTTTAAGAGGTTTAAAGAAGGGATAGAAGAATTAAAGAAAATGATTTTTGGAACACCAATAGACAGTTGATAACTACGCGGGTACTCTTGCGTAGGTATCAACTGTCTGGTGCTGTCCATTTACTAATTTTAACTTTATATTCTAATTTTAAAACTACTACTGCTTTTCAATATTTCTTATTTCACTAAGTTTTACAACTCCTTTGAAATTAACAAAATGCCCCACAGCAGAGATTTTTGGGATGAGCAAAGAGTTTTTGAATTAAGCTGGCGGACAAATGGCATTCAGGTGGACCCCGGCCTTAACCGGCTACCTCTTTTAAGCGGCCGCGACCACCTTTTGGTCGTCCCGATGAGAGTTTTCTATTGTCCTTCCAGTTACCCTTGTGAGGCGGCCACCCAAAATTTAATACATTCAATTCAGCTAGTTTGGCTTTGTTTTGGAGGAGACGATGACAAATAAGAGTTCGAGGCTTTAAACACACGTTTAGTATTGTCTGCACGGGATTCTGTGTTGCCTTAAAGTATTTGAATAAACTGGCATTTGCAATAAGACTCCAATAAGACTCCAATAAGCCTTATCAGTTGTATCACTCGTATCGTATGCTAATTCTTAAGCCAACTCCCATCTCCCCGAAGGTTCCACTGTGACTTCAATCGAAGTCCCCAGTCCGGCTTCTAACTAGCAAAACAAGACAGGACGTTGATTTTTGACGGAATATAATCAGTCATAAATCTGATGATGGTTAGAACTCTAACTTAATTAGTTTACAGTGCAAGGCCGGTTGGAGCTTGGGTTGGAGCCTTCGTGGTTGTCACTGTGTAGTGTCTTTAGTCTATGTCGTGCTCTTGGGGAAAACTGCCTTTCCCATGCATGCTCAAGGCCAGGGAAGAACATCCAACGACGCCTGCGTTGAGAAATGATTGGAAAACGTTATTTCCAAAGGGTCTTGCTAATAGCAGGCAAGTCAAGAATTTAAAGAAACCGACAAAACTTTTGAGTTCAAAGACATGTTTCGACAGAAACTGCTGTCAAGCATCTTCAGTTGATTAATGTACAAAGCGTTGCAGGTTGACTTTATAAGAAGTAGAAAAATGCTAATTGTGACAACAAAATGAAGCAAAGCGTGAATGTGTGAAAATTGAAGAAAATTTAGTCAGAATTCTAAATCTTCATTGAATTCTCGAGCTCATAATCCAGTTGTTAATTAGCAATGTTGGTCAGCGATGACAGTAATATCTCAAATGAAATAGACAAGTTTCATTTCCGGCTTCCTAAGTTTTAATTCTTACCCTTGCATATACAATGAATAATTGCTAACTACAATGCAAAGTAATATCTAATAGTTGAAATGTTCTCTATTGAACATAATAGTTGATATACAATATATTCTGAATAAATAAGGTTAGACGGTAAACCACTGATCCAATTATCACTCATTGGGATCCCAGTAATTCACCCTAGTATGTTGATAAAATTATACTTCAAATTGTAAGTAGCTTACCATTATCAATTCGCTTAGATATAAATACAGATATACATTGCCTTTCAATACTAATTACAAAGCTAGCTAGCTCATGAGGCAACTGATTAAGATCGACCAAGGGTTCTCCTGAAGTCACGTTGTATTAAATTTCATTTAATTAGATGTTGGTTTTTAGAATTTTAAAACCTATTTGCACTTTTGAAAACATCAATTTCAAAGCATCCACACAACATGGCGTCTTGTGTCTACACTGATGTGATTAATCAGTTTAATTGTAAAACTTCTCCAAAGGTTCTGATGCCAAACCGACTCCGAGTGAATACCGACATCAATGATAAATGCACTGATGAAGTGGAAACACACCTTGCTTTGCCCACCTTGTAAAGTCACCGTCATTCAAATTAACCTCATAACGATGATTTTTCAGTAGCTTGAGTATGTTTCCGGTTGAAACAAATCTTGGATGTGAGATATTTTTAAACTAAACGCCATACCGGTAGCTCCACCTTTTACCAGAGTTGGATCTTCAACTAAGATCGCTACCTTTGGTTTATTCCATTAGTATACCCACTGGAAAGCATTAGAGATATTCCGGCATCATAAGAGGTTGAACCTTAACTTTTTTCTGTATTATATGCGCTTCTAGAGCGTCCGAAATTCTAGTTATCTCTCTATTAATAAGCCCGCTTTCTAAAACTCAGATATAAGGGATAACTGATGACTTCCATACAGATATGTATGAAGACGCAAATCTGTATAATCATAGTCAAGTTTGTTTGGACATTGGTGACCAAACGTCGAGCGCGTCGTTTCAATGACAAGGACTTGATTTGCATCTTACCCTGTGAAGAAACATCCATAATGCAACCTATTAAGATGTATTATCAACATTTAAGATGTACAAAAAAGACCAAAAACATTTATTTTTACTTTATTACCCTTCCTAAAAGTGAGACATTCAGCTGAAACGCTGAATCTTTCTTGGTATTTAGATGACATCGTATAATCGGCTAAAATTAGAGATAGTAGAATGCGCCTTTACAATTTTCGCTGAAAAATGCTGGCGGCAAAATAGACAACACAGCTGTCGAGATCATGATGCAGCAATCAGACCTGAAGAAAGGAATTAAAACAAGGCCTGCCGCGAGGTATATAGATAAGATGCAGACCCTCTATTTGTGAACTTCTCGCCAGCTCGCCTCCACCCTTTTCCTATTCTCCCCCATCCACCGCAGGTTAGTGAAACGGTGCACTTTCATAAGTAAATGGAACGATAATAGACCCTATTCATAAATGGCTGCCGATTCAAAATTCTTTTGTATGAATTTAAATTAGCCCAACTAACCTCGTTTGAGAGTAAAAATTCCTCTGGGCTAATTTTAATACATACTAACAAAAGAATTTTTAAATGACAGCCATTTATGAATAGGTTCTATAAGATCCCTTAAAAAGTTCTTTCACATTAGTTTTAATCTATTGAAACTAGCAACAATAAAATTGACCGATTCTTCTATTTTCGTTTATCTCAAGCTGTCTTGGCAATTAGACAGTCAAGAGAAGATCACTGATCAAAACTCGATTTCTCCCGATTTTTTCGCTGATAAGTCCGCTGAACCAGCGGTTAAACCGAAAGAAATGATGCACTGCAGCACTAACGATTGAGAGCCTGCTCGCAGGTTACGCCAAAGAAGCATAGATTACTTGCAAAACAATTCGGACTTCAATTTTTCGGACGTTTTATTTCGGACGATTAATTTCCGGGAAGAGATATTCTCTTGTTTTCGGACACTTTTTATCTCAGTTTGGTCAAATTTCCGAAAAAATTTCGGACACTGTGATGAAACGTAACTTAAGTAAATTTACGCCTAAAAAACACGATTTAGACTGAAAAGACATCTATGAAAATAACAGTTTTACTGCGCCTTTAGAGATATACCGAGGAGAAATTAGTACAAATTCTATCAAGTCGTTACGCATCTCAAGCAGCGTCTCAAGTATCTCAACTAGAGTTCTCCTCATAAAGGAAACTAAGAGCTTTGGGGTTACTTAAAAATTTTATACTGCACCGTAAATATTTCGGACGCTTAAAATTTCGGACACTTTTTTGTCCGAAATCAAAATCGTCCAGACTTTATAAAAAATAGCTGAAGGGGTTTATTTTTTCAGAGCAAGCGATTGACGAATTTACAATAACGCCGGTCTGCCTCATAATCGATGGAGTTCTCTATTGGTTAAGAACAAAAGATTATTAAGGTAACTTACCTTGATAATCTCTTGTCAAGAACGATTCTTTATTACCGAGAGCTTTCCCTTGTTAAAGATATCTTCACGAACACTCATGAATTAGAATTCTGATATCAAGAGAATAATCTTTTCTGCACTGAGATCCTCTCACAAATTCTAAGAATCATTAACTAAGCTTTTTTGTATCGTTTCATGTCCATCACCAGCTGATTATTAACAGAAAAGTTTCATTCCAAGACTGGGACATGAACGTTGACTGAGCCGAAATGTTTCGCAAAGAAAGCGTTTTACTTTGATGGGCTATATTTACGTTGCCTGACAAAATATGGTAAAATATATAATACTTTCTTTTCGCTCTGGTCAGGAGTATAATGGGCTCCTGCTCTGGCTAAGAAAACACAACTAAAAAACAGCTTAATCTAAGTCTCATTCTAAATTTGGCTTAAACTAGGAGCAGATTAGAAAATTATCTCTGTCTAGGGGACAGGCTCTTAAAAGAAAGTTTTGTAAGCGCAAAAAAAAAAAAAAAACGCCGCAAGGGACAGCGTTTTAATTACTGTACAAACCGGCAATAAAATGATCGAAGACTTCACCATTTTAACCTAAACATCTATTACCTTTATGCGCCTTAAAACTCACGTGATCAGCAACAAGAAAAAGGAAAATAAAAGTGTTTTCCTGAAACAAAAAGAATAGAATATAAAATAACATTATATCTCTCCAATAAACATCCTCGAGTAATGACTTATTTGTCTTTATTTTGCCATCAGAGAACTGTTAGAGCTGATAAACGTTTCTTAGGTCTTCTCACCTTAATCGCCAAGTGTGAAATATGAATGGCACTCATGGCCGTGAAGTTATGACAAAGTGACTCATTTAAAATGGAAGACACGATGACTTGGTAAAATAGATCCATTAGGTCTTGCTCTGCTAATGGTGGAAAGGGCGAGTTCACAGGCAGGGGTGATATCCATTCATTAACATCATTAGTCATCTTAGAGATTTTCTTCCTTTCAACAATGTCGTTGCATTAATAATTTACCATTAGGTTTGGAAACAAATGATAACAAAATGTTACCGGCCATGTCGAAAACTGGTCTTATTTCTGAGAGATCTTCACGTGCTCTCTTTCGATTTATTTTGTGTTTAAAACCTGTCTAAGACGATTTATGAACAAACTCGAGAAAGTTCTTTTGGTTATGACTATATGACTGTAGTAAATTTTGACATAGATTAGAAAATTATCTCTGTCGAGGGCACAGACT